GCTCTCACTGTACAGACGATCGTGATACAGACGCTCTTCGCTTTCACAATGTCTCTCAATCTAGCCAGCACCATCAAGCTTTCCGATGGCAGAGCCATCCCACAGTTGGGACTTGGTGTCTATCTTTCCAAGGGCAAAGAGGGAGAAGTGGCGATGCAGCATGCTTTCAAGCATGGATACAGGCATCTAGATGGGGCACAATGGTACCGAAATGAGGCAGAGATGGGCAGAGCCTTCAGAGCCAGCGGGCTCAAGAGGGAGGATGTGTGGATCACCACGAAGGTTAGTGGGTAGGGGGAGCAGGGGAGCAGAGCTGTGGGCACATCATTGTCATCCGTGCCTTCCAAAGCTCACCGCGAGCGATTCCCGTACTCTTCACCTCCCCGCGGTCGCTGCACACACACACAGGTATGGGATGGTGAGCAGCAGACTTGTGCCATAATGTCGATTTCCTTGCATCCAGTCTCACAACATCGTGTGCTTCGCCTCTTCATAGCTAATCACGGCTACGAGAAGACTCTGCGATCGGTCGACGAATCTCTGGCCGTAGCAAAGCTGGACTACTACGACTTGTTCTTGCTGCACTCTCCCAACCCTGGCCGAGAGCTGAGGTTGGAGGCTTGGAGAGGTCTGATTGACGCTCAAAAGGCGGGCAAAGTGAAGAGCATCGGAGTGTCCAATTATGGCGTGCATCATATTCGAGAGTTGCTGGAAAAGTATCCCAACAACCTGCCAGTCGTCAACCAGGTGAGCATGCCGCTTCTACAGCATGGCAATCGATGCCGCGAAGAGCTTGTTGCTGACGCATCCGCTGGCTCCTGTTCTGGCGTACAGATCGAATATTCCCCCTTCTTCCAAGTGAGCGAGTCCAATGACGCCTTTCGTAGACTCTCATCTCGCTGCTGATGACCTAATTTATTTTCGTCCTCAGCGAAACGAGATTGTCGAGGAATGTCTGAAGCACGACATCAAGATCCAGTCTTACTCTCCTCTCGGCAAGGGCGCGTTCGTCGATCTCCCCGAGCTCAAGCAGATCGCAGATGTGAGTCGCTCAGCTCCCGGCCTCGGGCACGAATCGACCTTGCCTTTGTCGTACATTAGCGGGCCCGTCGTCTTCTCCTGACGCGACCCTGCCTCGTCTTGCACAGGTGCATCATAAGACGCCTTCTCAGCTGCTCATTCGATACGTTTTGCAAAAAGGCCACATTGTCCTTCCGAAGTCTGTCACCCCTTCGCGCATCGAGGAGAACGCAGACGTGTACGACTTTGAGCTGTCGGGACAGGAGATTGCTAAATTGGACGCTCTGGAGACTGGCAGTGGAGTCACCTGGGATCCTACCAAAGCGCCTTGATCTGCATACAATGCCGCAAAGCGCGTTGACAATGCAATGCGTGAGTTGGAGCAAGCCAGCTGTTGTTGCAGTTGCCTGTGATCGCGATGCTTAGCAATGTTCCATTCGTCACGACCCGCCGGTCACAATGAGAATGTTCAGAGGTCCACAACGACGGGAGCATCCTCCGCGCCCATCTGAATGCCCCTCTCAAACAGCTCCTGTTCTTGCAGCAAAATCTCCTCATCGTTCCTCTCATCCAGATCCACTCCCGATTTTTCCCTGAAAACGCGCGCCAGAACCCTCCAGCACGATATGAGCTTTTCGGACGGATCACACCGATCCGTATTCGATGGTGTTGTAGCAATGGAAGATGGAGATGCGCTGATGGCTAGAGTGTCGGTGACGGCTGACCTTAGCAAGTGAAGCTCCTGACTGAGCCAATACGCCAGATTGTCACTTGAACTTTGATCGCCCAGAAGCGTCTCTGTGTCCAAAAGATTGATTTGGGCACATAGCGTCTGCATGAATGCAGCGTGTAGCTCCGGTATCCTGTAATCGGTAGCGCTCGACTTGCTGCCATTGCTAGCAGCGGCACTGCCATTGACTGCTGGTGCGGCTACTGCAGTAGAGCTGGCCCCATGTAAGACTGCTTCTAGTCCTTGACCGGAGACTTGGTGGATAGATTGAGCGCCCATCGCAGCTCTGGATCTGCAAAACAGCTCGACGAAGCATTGCCAGTGGCTCAGCGCTGCGGGACTGGAAAGCGAGACAAATAGCACAAAGCTGAGTTCGAATTCTGCAAGTAGCGCTGTAAGATCTGTGAGTGCAGAGAAGCGAGGTTTGCAGTGGGAGTATCAGCGAGGTCAGCGAAGCCTTTGTTTTTTTATGTGCGCTCAAGATGGCACCAGTCGACTGACCACCAGCCAGCGAGTCGACGGCTTTTCTAAGAGCCAGACTTTTGTCCAAACTCCATCTCGTCCTCTCCTCTCCAACCGTGTTTACCCAGCTCTTTCTGAGCGGCACCTGTGTGAAGTGCAGTCTCCTGTCCAGCTCTTCCTCCTTTGCAGCCAGCTCATCGCCGCTCACATCCCTCCGCCTGGCAGTCCGGAGAGACTCTTCCAGCTTTTGCTCGGCCGAGCTGATCTTGCCCGCACAGAGGGGTCGTTCGGGATGCGCAAGTTCGTCGGATGTACAGCAGCTCAGCTGATCCCCCAGCACGCGTTGCAAAGTATCGGGTCGCTTATCCAGCGAAGCAGTCGCACGCTGCCAGCTCTGCCAAGAGGAGGTAGGCAAAGGAAAGCTGAGCTGAGTGCTGCGCTTATTTCCTGTGGGCTCTTGCCGAGCTGCGGATCTCGACAACACCGCTCCTTTCGATCCACTGCGATGTCCGCTGCTCAAGTCTCGCCGCACGACTTGCCCATCGTATGTTAGGTGGGCAAAGAAGCCGACGCGGTTGGTGAAGCCAGGTGGGAGAGAGGACTGGACCGAAGCGCTGGAGGGCGGATCCCATGCAAAGAAGTGCATACCGGTGGGGACGTTGGTCAAGCGTTGCAGAGATATCTGATTGACCTCAGTGGAAGCGTTCGACAGCGGATAGTCCAAACCTGAAATGTGGATCGTGCTGCCGCCCATCAAGGGGAGCGCGGGATCGAGGTCGAGCGTGCAGGACGATGAGGTGGCGTGGAAAGATGTCATCTTGACTGTGAAGGTGAGTGTGAGCAGGCAGTCGTTGCATCTGCTTCAGATGCAGGCTTCCTGAGGGCGTCCAATCGATATGTGAGTGATGTTGAAGGTCGAGCTTGCCTGTTGTGGAAATGATGCAGCTCTGACCTCGTCACCGACGAGAAGTTTAGCAAACCTGTCCTATCCTGCTTCAATCGTGAATGGGCTGAGGGCCGTGGAGGTTAGCAGAAAATTTGTGTCACGTGATCCGAAGACCCACGGCAAGCCTGCGATCGCGAAATCATGAATAATCACGAATCGAGAGTCTGATGAGTCGAGTTCAGCATCGTGCTAGCAAGTGTAGTGGTCACGAGTAGTAGTAGTAGTGGTAGTAGCCTGCAGTCAAGTGTGACCCTTCGCACCTCGATCTGCTGCCGCCCATAACCTTCGCCTTACGAGGTCAACCTTTGCCATCGCGTTCACCAGTGGGAAAGCGCTCTACACTCTACTGCGTCAGGTCAATTACGCCGTTGTTGTTGTTGGCCTCACTCGCGCATACACCCGGCAAAAACTCAAGAGGGATCTGCCTAGACTGTACTCAGAGTGGATTCGCGGCGCCTTGATCCTTTCGACACCCCTTGACACAACCGCAGCTCCTCTCGCCATTCTTTGGCTTGACAGGAAAAGCGCATCGAAGTCGAGGTGCTGTCAGCGCATTCCAGTATTCTGTGACAGCCACATCTAACATCGCCCGACGCAACACCAATCGTCGTCATGGATTACCAAAATCGTGCGGGTAATAAGGGAGCCGGCGTGGCGGGGACGAGCGAGGCCAATGTGGACCGAAGAGAGCGATTGCGAAAGCTTGCGCTGGAGACGATCGACATCAACAAGGATCCCTACATCTTGCGGAACCACTTGGGATCTTTGGAATGCCGACTTTGTCTCACGCTGCACACCAACGAAGGTTCTTACTTGGCCCACACGCAGGGCAAAAAGCATCAGACCAACCTGGCACGAAGAGCAGCGAGGGAAGCTGCTCAGCAACAAACATTCGCCGATGCTCAAAGACTCATCACTGGACCTAATGCGAATGCGGTAGAGAAGAAGCGGTTCATCAAAATCGGCAGGCCAGGTTACAAGATCACCAAGGTTAGGGAACCGGTGCTGAGCGGGACCAATGAGGAAGAAGGTGAAGAGGAGGTTGGAGGAAGGTTGGGTCTGCTTTTTCAGATTCATCTCCCAGAGATCAAGGGAGATGTGAAACCTCTATACCGATTCATGAGCTCCTTCGAGCAACGAGTGGAACCTCAAAATCGCGCGTGGCAGTACCTCGTCGTGGCCGCAGAACCGTACGAGACCATTTCTTTCAAATTGCAGGCCAGGGAAGTCGATAATTCGTACGGAGTGGTCTACTCGTCCATGGCAGGTGCGAAACCAAAAGATGAACCTGCTACATGGAGTCATTGGGATCCCGACGTCAAGACGTACACCATTCAGGTACTCTTTCGCTGAACATGTGAGACGCTCTGCCAGATTGTGGGCCCAAGGACTGCTGCTGCTCACACTGCGCCAATCGCTTGCTCTCAACAATGCCATAGCTCAACGTCTCTTGTCCCTTTTCGCTTGTTCCACCACCGCTACACTCGATCGACTTTCATGTACTCTTGTCACCATGACGCCCCGCAGCCTGGCATGATGGCCACCTGAAAGGGTTCACGTTTCAAATAGCATCTGCTCGCACAGGGGAGCAGCGTCAAACCAATGTGAGCTCAGTCACGCCCAAATATGTATTGAAAGTGCCTATGTCGAAGAAGAGTATCCGCTAATGATAATGATGGATTAGTGGGATAGCATGAACCAAGTGCGATGACGTGATGCTACCGGTAGGGAAAGCAGCATTGGCAAAGAGATGATTTGGGCATGCGAGTATAAAAACAAGACGCGATGTTGGCAAGGATGGGTTGGATTATCTCGTAGAAGAGTTCGGAGCATGGCGAGACTACTCGACGCAAGTGTAGATCTGAGCGCAAATCCGGCAATTGGCTCACAAAACCGAACAGGGAAAGTTGATACCATCAGGCTGAGCATGGGCAACGCGAGGTGGAGAGATGTGGAGCAGTGCTTGCAGGGCCTTCCCCCGATCTGCATCATCACCAGCGACAAGCTTTGTCGTTGCAGAGCTAGTTCTCTCCATCACTGGCCGTGGCGCCACATCTCGAGTGCGAGATCGGAATCGAACGGTGTAGGGCATTCGCCACATGCCGCGAGGTCGTTCCAATACAATGTTTCTCCGCGCTTGATGCGGCGCAGGGGCTTGGACGTGGCTTCCTTGCTTGGGTTCAAGCTGGTCTGAGGCAGATAACGAGACTGGGGGCGACGAGGCATGAACTCATCCACTAGCTGGTCAGCTTGGGCTCGCGCTTGGCTTAATGCCTCTTCTGCTTTTGCTGCCTCCGCTGAAGCATCGTCGATCATCTCTTCGTCCTGAGAGTCGTACTCCTCATCGTCCGTGCATTCGTCTCCATCCATTGGTATATCGTCCTCAATAGGAGTGAACCCACGGTCCGCGTAGTACAGAGGACCATCGCGGGCAGGTCTACGGCTGCGAGAGCCAATGACCGCAACGGGAGGCGGACATGCATAGACGCCCGCCTCTCCTGGGACGTACCGACGCTCACGAACGGTGATTTCGGTGCAATGCAGTACTGTGCGGTGACCATTCGAGCCTCTCTGGGCTTTCGAAACGCTGCTGGTGCAGCGTGAGCAGGGCGACATGATCATGTAGCCGATCGGTTGGTGGCATCCCTTGCACGCCAGGCTCTGCGTCATGCAGTCGCAAGTCCTTTGCGGTCCTGCCTCGCCGGTTCCAAGACCAGATGGTGCATGATGAGGTTCAGTATTGTCAGGGAAAGCGTCAGTGCTGTATAGCGTGATGTTAGGACGCAAGAGCAGCACAGCCTATGAAGAGCAGTAACTCGGGAGTAAGTCCACATGCCTCCGGTCGTGGCAAGCTGATGTCCAAAGAGAGACTTACCTTCATTCCTCTATTCGTGAACATCACCCCACAGTGGCGGCAGTTGATCAAGTAGACCTTGTGCTGAGCTTCGACACGTCGAGTTTCGCGTTGCCTTTGCGCGGCGGCGTGAGCTGCTTGTTCATGAGCGCGTACATTCGCCTGATACTGAGCGCGGGCAAAGGCCTGCTGTTGCTGTTGCTCGGCGATGGACATTCCAGCTCGCTGAGCGAGGGAAGATACGTCTAGCAATGGAGGCGTAGTGACGTTGGAGGGCTGACCTCCGGGGCTTTGACCAGTCGAGTTCATCGCTTCTGTGCGTGGTCCAGCAGCTTCGGAGCTCGGGAAAGCCCCTGCAGGAGATGTGCCGGTAGCTAACGCGTCGGTTGAGGCTGCCATTTGCGTCCACTGATGGTAGTACTGCTGGTACTGTCCACTGAGGGCGGCAAATGCTGCCGCATACTGATCCTGAAGACCATGCTCGACGAGATATCTTAGAGCTGCGCCAGCTTGCATGTGAGCGCGATGTATTTCCTCTCGCATAAGCCTGTGTCGCTGAGCTTCGGTCGCTTCCGCCTGCGCTACTTGGCTTCGAGCGCTAGCATTGCGACTACGCTGACGCTCGCGAACCTCCATGCCGCGTGTCGTACTGGACGTTGGGACGGAATCCGGCGCGATGCGGTACTCCCGCCTGGCGATGCCCAAGGAATTGACAGCGACCGTGTAGTCTGGCCCATCCGCCGGCACACGACGTGCAGCTGCGGCGGCCAGCCGGGCGTTCATGTCACTGAGCATGGTCTCAGCCATGGCGCGAGTGGCGGAGGTGCCAATGGTGCTTGGTGCGCTGAGACTCGCCGAGGTGAGCGGAGGGGCAGCTGAAGTAGCTACAGAAACAGAGGGTTGGCCAGGCATGGTGACTGTGATGGTGGGCCCTGGCCGAGTTCCAGCGAGTTCAGCAGAAGCTCCCAGAGTGGATGGCGCGGGAAGTGGCGCAACGAATGGCGCAGACACATTTGTAAGCGAGGGAAGCTCAAGATGCGACACCATTTGGGGATTGAGTGGGCCGCCGGTTGAACTGCCGGCGAGACTGGATCCTGTTGCAGCATGGCGCGCAGCTCTACTAAGGCTGGTGCGACGGGTTGTCTGAGGCGAGCTCGAGTTGCGCACCATCGAGTCTCGACTTGCGTGAGGCATGGTGGCTAAGCGACCTCCGTGTTGAAGTTCAAATTGGCGGGCTAGCAGGACTATGTGGATGGCACGAGGGAGCAGCGAAAATGAGGTGTTAGTGGTTAGGTCGGAAATTCTGATATGCTAGGTGGATGGAATGTGCCATCGGGGATGGTAGCGAGTGGAAAGGGTTGCGGCACAGTGGAGCACAAGCTTTTGAAGGCATCTTAGGCGAGGCAAGCCTTCAGCTTCGCTGGTTGCTCAATAGGCTGCCCAGGGGTGGCTGCCCAGGCTGCACAAATGTACGAGCAAGCGTTGTGAACGAAACGGCGCAGCAAGCAAGCAAGCTGCCGAATCGTGGATGGATCTGCGACCGCATCGCGGCGGCGGCTGCTAAATTTGCAAATGAAACATCCCACGGGCCTCATCTAGGTGGACTTGATGCCGTCTTTGCCTAGAAGCGCCGGTGACGGCCTGAGCTCGGACGACTTTCTGGCCAGCGAAGGGGGAGAGGGCTTGTCGGCGGCCGGTGAAGCAGGCTCCAGCAACCTGCACATGATGCAGTGCGGTGAAAGCGGTCGCCCATCGCCGATCCATTCCACAAGCGGCCGCCGCGGACAGAAGATCGGGCCCACGCAGCGTCCTGAAGCTCGATCGCGCAAGCAGCCTCTCATCGTTGAACAGGAGACTGTTTCAATAGCACCTGTAGGCTTGAGACATGCCGCACAAAGATGATCCTGAGATCAGAGCAGTGTCATGCGGTTTGACGCCGCCGGGAAGTATATGCTGCTTGGCAGTTGCAACGACTTTCAACTTCTGCTCGCGACGACGCATCTGGCAAGCACAGGCACTTCGCCAGTCATGCAGCCATGCGCGACTTCATTGCTGCGACGCGTGATCCACGAATAGTGAACCGCGCGAACCGGTAGGGATCATGCTACGCGTGGCGGTGGCTACAGCTCCAAGGATGCATTCACGGTGTGCACCAGCATGCCCATGTTTCGTAGGACGAAAGCAGCGAAGCGATGCCATACGCACACCAGTGAACCCTTTTCCCTTTAGCTGACCGAGCCACTCACTGACTAGCGATTTGCGCGTTGCGTCCGTGGGAACTCCACACCAAGCCTGCATGCGGCTCCGCTTTCGTCGCTGCTGCATGCAGAGGCCCACTTGCTGCCATGCTGCGGGAGACCAGTGTCTGCATCAAGCAAAAGAGTATATAGCGGCGGCGAACGCGCATGCATGCATGCTGAGCGATCTCTGCACCGCCGACGCGCGCCCACCAAGCATGCGCATCTCAGCCACATCTTGAGCGTCCTACATCAGCCATTCATTCAAGCAGGCAAGCCGCTTGGATTAGCGGCGCGCGCGGATGTACAAGCGGGACTTGTTGACCCCTCGGCTTCGCGTTGCGCTTGCTACACATTCGTAGTCCAGATGCCATGCATCAGAGATGCCTTCCAATGTGACTCGAAGTTGTCTTATATCCTCCTTGCTGACGCGCATGCCCGCAAATATGAAATGTCTCGGAGACACAGGTGTGGCGGTGCCTGCTATAGGAAAGTCACGACTACGCGCGATGTTCCAGCTGATGCCGCTGCGCACCCAGTCGCAAATCCCAGCCGAGACAAGAGCCTGGGTCATCTTGGCTACTTTACTGCTCTCGGCGCCATGCAGCGATGCCTCCTAATTCAACAATAGGGAAGCTGTCAAGTATGGGCGTCGACCATCTTGTTCTGACGCCAATGACTGCAGCCTCTGTGACTTTAGCCGCCGTGTGGGGGCCGTGACACATCGCAGGAATGCTTCTCGTCTCTCTGCGGAGCCAGACAGAGCGATTGCTCGCATGTGGATTCGCTGTGAATCTCGCGGATAGGGAACAACCGCAGCGCTCCACGAACCAGCCTAGCATGGAGGAAATCGGGCGCCAAGTGTTTGCTCTTCGCGATTCTCATCAGACTTACCTCGATGGCCACGGACAGTTCCACCTGGTGAGAGCCAAGCTGCCGCTTCTTGCTAGGGCCGAGACGTCGCTTGATGCTGGAGGCTGCGAGAAGGGTGGATACTATGGGAATGTACAAGGAGCAGGACGTCAGAACATGTCGGTTTCCTTTTCTGTACAACGGATTGCCAAAAGATCCACAGCGAGGAAGATGGTCGAAGTCGCGCGCCTCCTCTACCTCCTGAGACGAGCTTCTGCCCAGCTAGTCAAACCACGCCTCTTAGTAGGTCGTAAAGTCGATAGCGACCTCAAATCCAGCTTCCTCACGATGACAGGTATCGAAGGCAGGTCACGCGCCAGAGATCTTGTCAATAATTGCGGCTCGAGGGAGTGGATGGACGCATGCGAAAAGCCCCCCACCTCCTCTTTCAGTTGGGTGTGCCAATTTTCGTCGACTACACTGCAGGGGCCAAGCAGCAGGCTGCCATGACGAAATCCGCTCCAAGTGAGACTCACCTCCAATAGTCGAGACTTCAAGCAATGAAGGTGCACAGGGGCGATTGACGTTTGGAGCGTCGGATCCAAATGAGACGCTTCCCCTCAGTCGCTGCAGGGGTGGGGCGGAACTGTTCAGACTGTGATGAGACGCTTGGAAGGGTCCAGTCCCCCTTCAAATTTCAAGGGTTTCCCAAGACCAAGCGTTGATGACGAAGCTGCTCCGCAACTTGCGGCTTGACCTGTTGCTGCAGATGTCGCACGCGTCGCCAAGGGTTGAACGGGGCCAGTGCGGAATTGACGAGGTTCGTGCTTCAGAGGAATGCAGGCTGCTCAGAATCTGGCCCGGAACAATCTTGAATGTGATACTGATGAGTGATAACAGAGAAGACGGAGAGCGCTGCCAGGTGCTGCTGGGCGTGGGCCTTGATGAGCAGTCAAGAAGATGACTTGGTTGAGGACTGATGGGGCGAGGGTGGCTGATGGTGTCCCGAATACAGCAGCGTGTCTGTTCAACCCGAAGGTCGGCAATTCAGCCTGCAAATGAGCACAACCAGCTTGGATAGAGATAGGGCGTGTATGATCGCGCTGTTCGAGGTTGAAGAAGAAGGTCGGGCCAGTGGGAGATAAAAGTTGGCTGTGGGCCTGCCATGAAGTGTGGACCTATGTATAAATATCTTTTCAGTACGAGATTTGCCATCCGGTCTGTGACACCTGCATGCATCCCGTGGGATTGCCGACCATGCAATCGAGTCTTGAGTATCAAGTCTCCACGAATCGCGAGAGGTTCAGAGCTCGGTGATGCCTCGCAACTCTTGCATGACTCACCATGAGGGGGCTGAGACACCGCCGGCACGATCAGTCGCAAGGTAAATGTTGCAGCAGGGCGTGGCTTCTGCGAGTAGTGCCGCCAAGAGAGAACTTTTGTGCTCGAGCGTCTTGATGATGAGACACGGAAGTGGAGAGTGGCCCATCAGCGGATGATCGAGCAAACACCACTCCATCGATCACGAATCCTACTCTTCCGCGTGCAGCACGGTCGTCGCACAGTGTGGGGTTGCGCAGGCCAATCATTCATTGCTGGCGCGCGCCAGTGCGTCTGCATATTGCAGACCTGATTGCGATCTAAAGAAGAGACCGCTACAGAAGCTGGCCGCCGGGGATGGCAACCTGATTGATTAGCCTGCGCGATTCTTGCTGAGACACGAGAAACCCCGCGCAAGCCTGGCCCATGAGCGTGTCCTTGCTATAGCGTGCCCGTGTTTTGCAGCAGCTGAATCAAGATCCTGAACAGGGAAGCGGATGGATGGCCTTGGCATTCGAGGCGAGTCGATGATGAGCGAGATGCCCAAGCGAGCTGCGAAATACGCCCTTCGCGGTCTCTTGCTGTGGACGGCCATGTATGAGCCTTGGCAAGCTCCTATAGCGAGACAAGACTCCGCCAAGGCACTGCGACAGTCTTTCACTCAAGACCCAGACTAGCGACTTAAGAGGAAATACTTCATCAACGACTCTGAATCACTTCATGCAGGGCAAGTCCGCTGAAATTGGTGCGCGCTGTGCAGCAGAAAGATTGAAGTTTCGGAGCCGAGAGTCCAAGGCTTGATCTAAATAGATACCACAAATAGCGGCATTTTCAAACCTCGGCGCTTCTTCTCGCCCCCTTCAACCCTGCAAACAGTCAAGACGTTCCTCAGGTCGCACAAGACAAGGGTCTCTTTGCATCAATCTTTCAGCAGGTGATGGAGATACCAGCGTTGGGTGAGGCGTGCTGCGAAAGAAACGTCCGAGACAAAGCCCCGCCCCGAGGACGCTCCACAGGAATGGGGCTGGTGCGTGAAAGGGTAAGGTGAAAGCAGCGCTGTGCAGGCTGCATGTTAATTGGACACTCACATGTCTCTTCGCAATCGTAAGCAGAAGGGTACAACGGAAGTTCGATTGCTGCTGCTGCTGGGGCAAAGCTTCGTAAAATGGCGTGGGAGACGGCTGCAGCGGCTGGATCGAGCAGCGTCTTGCCTTGCTCCTCGGAGGCCGAAGCAACTCGGCTCAATTGTGAGACTTGTGAATGATTCGGTCCAATTGACGGTTGACCGAGCGCCTTGTCCAGAGCTGCTATACAGCATGGTCAAAGTCTGAGCGCGTGTATACCGCGCGTCTCCATCCTCAACACTGCACTTGTACGACTCATCACGACGCACAAGACTCGTGACTCTAGCTATTATAGTTTTCATGCGACGTCTCGGCGCTACAAAAAAGGGAAAGTCAGCTACTGTATGATTAGCTTGCTGCTGGAGGTCGATCTGCATAGCGCTGAACTGCCTGCACGCGCGGGTCGAGGGGATTGCTCCAGGCGGACGCGCAACGCCGCGCGCGTCACAAAATCAAAAGGATGTGAGACACGCTTGCATGACCAGAAGCTTACAATGACCACACCGCCTTTTAGCCCTTGACTCCTTCCTTACCATCTTGTGCCCCTCTTTGCCTATATCCTTCAGCTCGGCTTCTTCTTGCACAGCCATCGCTCATGTAGTACGCAAGACGCGCGCGGGATCAGCCGGTCGGACTGTGTGGCCGTCTTCCGAAAGGGGTAGCTCAACATTGCTCCTTACGTGCCGGTCCCTGTCCCTATACCCTACCCGTCGCGTGGCGTAAAGCCAAAGCTGCACAGCAACACTACTACTACTTCTACTACTCGTGTGGGTAGCTATACCAGGGCCGTGGCTAAGGCCGCTAGAGAACCAACGAGACTCTGAGAAACCTGGACGGATGCGCGTTCGTGCCATTTGACGAGGTTGGAATTAGGCAAAAAGTCATCGTTGCCCAGCAGTCGTAGTGCTGCCCAGCTGCTGTGCGAAAAGGACGCTACGGTATCCTCGTGAAGTGAAGGGATTTCCGAACGATAGCAGCGCTATGCAGGGCAGGACAGGGGCTGAGCTGGGCGCGATCGAGCGCGGCGTGTGCGGGTTGAGGGAGACCGATTTCCCAGTCCGACACGTTGTGTTAGCCGAATATGTGCTTCGGAGCCGCGTTCGGAGCTTCAAGCTGACGTGCCAGTCGGCTTGGCGGTTCCACCCGGCAGATAAGTCCAGATCTTCTCGGCACATGTCTCACTTTGCCTTTCAGACGCGCACAAATGGCTTGATCGCTGCTGTGAGGAGCATCAATGCCGCGGACTTGACGAAGGCTTAGCAGGTATCACGCCATCTATGCTGCTGGCTCTACCCAACGATCGTGGATGAGGCGGGTCCGTCTAGCGATAGTGTGAGCTATCTGCGTTGATGTCGTCATGATCAATTAAATCGTGGGAAACTGCGGATGCGCGCGGATCATTGTACTGAAGCTACAGAAGAGGCAATCGTGAATAGGAAAGCCGCGGACGCTTGCAGCTTGACAGGGAAAGGGTAGTGGCAGTTTGGAAATACAGGAGCCCCACGGAAGAAATCTGACTCGGCTACAGAGAACAGCCCACGCGCTGTGGAAACGTGTGATTCAGGCGACATAGCGATATAGTCCTCGTTCGCCTTCCACTCGCTGTTCGCGCAAAGCGAGCGGAGTCAGCGAAAGCCCTATATGCGGTTGGCGGAGGTGCGAATTGACCCACCTCGAGGTATTCTCGGTCAATGAGTGTCTCAATCCTATTCTTGATCTCACGGATGTCAGGCGCGAATCGGCTGTGATGCGTTTGAAGTCGAAGACAATCAGCCCTCCTGCTCGAGCGAATGTCCACGGCAGTCTCTCACGATTTTGTGGCATCCACGACTTCTGTAATGAGCTCCGCATGCCGAATCTGCTTTTTGGCTTTCAAAATTCGCACAACGGCTGCATCTACGATCATGTTGCGGTCGAACATGACGCGGTCGCGAGTCGAGCTCTGCTCCTCGACCTGAGGTGTCGAAATTGGGGGTCAAGAAAGGAGCGAGACAAATGTCAAGGTGCTGATGCGTGCAAGGGTGAAGAAGACCTTCCACTCACGGTGTCGGCCATTTGAATTTGGTTGATGCGGACGCGTTGACGCTCGTTCTTCAAGGCCGGATTGACGACAAAGCAGTCGCCATCATTGACATCTTTGCCTTGCGGATCTTTGCGCAAGACACGTGTGGGGATCTGACCACAGGCCAGCGACTGCGCAAACGTGGCAAGGAATGGGCATCTAGGAAATGCAGGCTACGTCGAGGAGCAGGGGCGGCCGTCTCGGCGAACTCACTTGCAAGGTCCTTCTCAGCTCCTTGTCATCCAGACCGACGCGCTCTTTGATCTGCTCGTAGCGTAAGCGCTCCTCATCATTAAAAAGAAGCATGACGAGACTCTGGTAAGTGGAGACGTGCAATTCCTTTTCTCCAGCTCGCGGGAGGTTCGCTTTGAGGGCGCAGGTGCCGAGGGAGTGAGCCCAAGTCAGCCGGCGACCCGAGTTACGTGACTGATAGTAAGCTTTGAAGCGCTCGAGTACCGCAGCCATCTGCAACGGCTCGAGTCGTTGATCTGGTCAGCACTGGGAAAAGGCACAGAAGCTACATCGAGCGTAACAATACTCACGTCACTTGGAATGATCAGCTCGCTTTGCGGGTACGTAGGCCAGTGTGCCTGGGTCAGGACATGGGCTGAGAAGTCAAAGCTGACTTCTCGGCCGTCCGCCTTCGCTCGTGCCTCTCCCATCTCATAGCCTTTCATGATGTCCTCTGACAAGGTGATGTCCTGCTTCGTTGAGCAAGAACAGTAAGCACGTTGTCTGCGCTTCAGTCTTGAGGCAAAGACGCACCTTGAGCATGGTCTCCAACTTGTTGGTGAACGCTGCGCCACACTCGTCTTTGAGCTTGAGAAGCATGCTCTGCTCTGCGTCGCTAGAGGCTGATCTGTTCAGGAGGAGTCGTTTGGCGAACGAGCGCTTGTAAAATTCCTCGAACATGTCTTTGTCGTGGGTGTATCTAAACAAGACCAGAGCATCGTCGAGCGCCTCTTCCAGCTCTGCATCTGTCATGGTCTTGTTGCCTTGTTTGAGCTTGACGTCAAGGAATTTGGCTGCAGAAAAATGGGACGTAAGGATAGCCGGGAAGTTTGCATCAGCACTCTGAGAATCAAGAGCAAGACGCTTCTTGGAGCCGCACCTATCAGCTCGGCTACGCGGTTGCCGCGTGCGTTGATGAAGCTTTCGAACGCTTCCTGCTGCCTGTGAGTAAACTCGGAGTCCGCGCCGAAAGCTTCTTTCACGATGTTGTCCGTCCTTGCTTTGTACTGAAGGATGCGCTCAATGAGTGTATCGTCGATGCTGCTGTCGAGCACCATGGATTGGCCACTCGCGCGCAGCTCTGTTGCCCACGCAGTCTTGAGGTCTGCAAGACCGGAAACGCGAGACAGCAAAGCGTAGAGGCGCGCAAGGGAAGCGACGTCGTTGGCCTGCAATAATGCCGGAAAGCCAGCGACTAGCAAGAGGCTGTGATCACTGACGAGACGCGCAAGGACAACGGAGACGTTCTTTACTTGTCCTGCTGAGCCGTGCAGCAACGCATTGGCCCGCTCTTCCTCCTGTGAGAGTCGTTGTGAGACGTAGCCCAAGTACTTTGCGACATCGAGTGATTCGGTCAGAGCAGAGGCTTCCTTCTGGTAGAACTCGCTAGTCGACTCGTGAATCGCAGCCTCGAGAGGTGAGTAGGAGTCCAGGCGCAGAAGCATTTCGAGAACAGCGGCGTGACGATCGCGGTGATTCGCGGTATCCGTTTGCCTGCCAGGAGTCGTGCCTCACAAGTGAATCAGGTGCTGAGCAGCAAGGCAGGAGTAACACTCGTCCTCACCTTTCCGTATTGATCGCTAGTGTGACCGCGGTCAAAAGCCTCTGCTGGAGCTCAGCATCCTCAACGATGCTCTCCTTGAAGGTTCTCATGGCGAGGTCACTGTCGGAGAAAGCAACCATGACGCGAATAAGTCAGCTCTGCTTGTTCTCCACCGCACGCAGCACAACACGTGGCCACCAACCGGATGGGTTCGACACCGCTTGGCTTGCGTGGCAAAAGATAATTCTGGTCCAGCGGTGACAGTACGCTCCTGACGAGCTCCTGGGGAGAGCATGAGAGTCGTGAGCAGCGAAGTCAGGTCCGAGAACTTTAGATATGCTTCAAGGTCGTTCTTACCAAACTCACGATCCTGTCGCACCAATCCTGCCAAGTTGCTGCGAGGCTGTCGAGCCAAGCGAAAGCAGCTTCAGGCTTGGGATCGGAGCTCGCTGCTCTGAGCGAGGATGCCCTTGCTCCCACAGCACGCTGTAGAGCGCCCTTCAGCCCATCGAAGATATCTTGGCCCGCATCAGCGTGCACGATGAGAGTGCGGCATGCGTCGTACAGACTGCCAAACGACCGCGTGTTCATGTCTTGCTTGTCATTGTCTGGTCCTAAAAGTTGACGGATGCTACGTAACAGGGCCGTACGCTCGACTGGCGCCCAATCTTTGGGAAGTGGTGGAGCAGAAGAGTGGAAAGGCAGGGAGCGTGTACCAGCACTTGCTGACTTGTCGGTCCGGGTGGCGCTGCTCGCTGAGGCAGCAAGTAGAGCAGCGAGCCCGGTGGAGGGCCGGTCCTCCCTTTCCGTCCTGCTCCCACCTCCTGAATGCGCTCCAGCAGGCGCTTTCGGTGCAAAAAGAGCCGTCAGAGGCCCCGCATATTGGCTTGAAGATAGCATGATGACCGGCAAGGCCGCAAAGGCGATGGGTGATAAGAGACCGTCGTCGCGGCTTCCGAAGGCGAGAGGGAGAGCCGCCGCTGCGCCGCGTGTCTCTGACGGTGCTGCTGACGAGTGCTGATTTTGAGAGTTCTGCGGTACAACACACGCAAGGACAGCTCAGCGGATCGCGACCTTCTTCGGGAATGATGCTCGTCCTGTATGCCGTTGCGAAGTTTGGGTTAGGCAAGAGCGAGGGAAGGACCCTTGCTGACGCTGCACCGAGCTGCTACTGCTGCTGCTGCTGCCTGCTTTCAAGGTGAACCGTGCAGGCGCGGGCGCGCGTGACTCTCCACGCGCGCAGCACAGCCGCGTGCTTCATCGCAGCTAGCATTCCTAGCACTGAGTCACGAGTACAGGCCCTTATTGTTGCTGATCCCCATTCATTATTGACACACCACAGCCATCAAGGCGCTGCAGAGGTCGTAGGCAACTTTTAAATCACATATCATCTGCTCACCTCCCAGTCGACTCGAATCACCCCGAGCTCCGCCACACTCGACAGATCGATACGATGTCTCTACCACGAAGATCGTACGATCCGAGGCGGGTCTGCCTGTTGCCCTTGCCTCCTCTCCCCAGCTTTGTTCGCGCAAACAAGCGCACATTTGGCATCTACGCGTCGGGCGCCCTCTTCAGCATTGGCTGGTGGGTGTTTCTGGATGCCGTCATCTTGAGCTCCATCAGCATGAAACGGCCAGCGGAGGATGTGCCTTGGTCAGAACCAGCAACCTACATGAGCTTCGCGGACTGGATTCCAGGCCTCTGCGGGACTTTGGGAATGATCGTTGTCAACTTGATAGACAAGCAGGTCTTGGGAGAAGCCGGAGGAGCATTCGCCTTTGGTGGCGGAAGCGGCGGGGGATGGGGAGATGGAGGAACTCAAGTCAGAGCCAGAATGTTCCTCTTTGTCGGTTTTGCACTCATGGCTGGCGGACTGGCTGGAAGCCTCACAGTCCTCACGATCAAATACTTGGTGGCAGCGCTGCCTCCTGGCTACGAGCACTATGGCATAGCAAATGTGGTGAGTGTTAGTGGTGCTCATTTGCTTACTGCAACCTCTGCTGGCCATCCTTTCGAGCGGTGCAAGCAGCAGTGCACATCAGCGAGAGCCTTACGCTGATGCGCCGATATGCTCTTGCAGATTCAAAACGCTTGCCTGATGCTGAGCACCATCTTCCTATGGATGAGTCAAAATGCGGACGACGAATATCGGTACGAATTAACAATCTGAGTCAAGCGCTACTAACCAGCTGCGACGCGCTTGGTCCCCGTTCGACGCGTTCGACCCTTTCAGGAGCATCCACTCGCACAAGCTGTCCAGTCGCCAATGTCACACATCTGCTCTGATTCTGCGCGCGATCAATGACTTGATGAGTAATGCGCTCGCGAATGTCTCACAGATGAGCAAGCAGAGGAGCTTTTGGCTCTCGTTTGTGGTCAAAAGTGTACACGCCTCTTCTCGGGCGACAGCGGTTAGGCTAGCGGTGGAAGCTACGATTCGCCTGCCTTGCCAGAGTCCGAGGAAGGGTGGGGCGCCAAACACTGCAAGCACGGCACCCGCCTCTAGTGATCCAGTCTATTGCATGAGCAACGCACTTCAATCCTCCTCCGATGGCGGTCCGTCGTCGTCATCATCATCATCCTCGTCTAAGATCACGTAAATGTGACACGTTAGCAAACAACGGATGCAGCAGTGCTTGCTGCGCTTTTGGCGCAAAAGTCACTCGCCTGCGATGTCGTCATTGCTGATGTTGACTTTGCCCTCTGCTTCGCGAAGCAGCGCTTTGATGCTCTGACCCTCCTCGCTATTTCCGTCTGCCACAATCTCGGCGGGCTTGTCACCATCTTTGTTGACTTCACGCGGATCTGCACCGCACTCGAGTAGCTGCTCGACTACCACAGTTGCGTAAAGCAATGCGACGTTCAGCTCGGCTGCTGGGCGCACATGAATTGTGAGCTCTTGATCCACTCACCGATCCACACCCTCGCTTCACCAGGTTCGCCAGCGACTGCCAAGTGAAGAGGAGTGTTGCCTTTCCTGTTTGGCAGATCCACATCAACCTCCTCCTCTAACAATCTTTCCAGCACTTGCGTGCTCTGATTCGTCACCGCAAGGTGCAAAGCTGTGTTGCCAAGACCATCGGCGGAGGAAAAGTCGACGCCCGACTCTGTAGCCAAGGCTTGATCGTAAAGCTCTACCGAATCAGTCCGAGCTGCGTGCCGCAGCTGCTCGTCTGTGCAGAAGATGACGGAGAGCTGCTAAGGGTCGACAGGAACAAGTACTCAGGATTGAGTTGGGCATCGACTCACCTGCGTTAGCTCCGGCTTCGTCCGCCATGTCGGGCACTGTCGGATGGTGATGATTGCGGTCGGAATGTTGTAGTGTTGGCTCGCCGCTGTCCAGCAGTCTCTGGTTGCGCGAGAGAGCGATGCCCGATGAACCCTGGGAGAGCGTGTGACGGTAGTGTGAAATGATTGTTTGTACGAGTCAGAAGTGAGCTGACGCTGGCTCTCAGTAACGGGAACAAGACTTGGCAGCGTTCGCAGACACGATGTCGAGTGTGTCAATCGTGAATTGCAGTCACGCGAGTGAGGAGGCGAGGCTGTGGTGATGCTGGTGGAGAGCATGCATGCGCAACTCGGCCGATATACGCGCCGATCACTCACACTCTTGACTGTAACCAGCAGCTTACTGCCCGCATTCGTGATTTCACGCATTCACGCGAGCGTGTGCATTGGCTGTGTGAGTTCCACTTCAGCAGCCACCTTCGTATCTCACAGCTAAAGAGCCACGTCCAAGCTCTTCATCTCGACAATCTTTGGCGATCTTGCTAGCTCTACGCAGACCGCTGTTCGGGTCGCAGCCGCAGACGTTGCACTGCCATGTCAAGCCCCTCCACGTCGCCGGCGGGAGCTGGTCGGCCTCCACCGACGCCTTCCTCATCGTCCGTGCCGCCTCTTGTCAGTGAGCCGGATGCGACCTACCGATCACTTCTATCTCTGCTCCTGGCAGGATCTGCTTCCAGTCGACACTTGCTTCTACTACCCGAGCCGACGTTGACTGCCAGCATAGCGCACTACCTTTCGTCTCTACCGTCTGATGCCTTGCCTGGTTTCGTGCGAGCTCTCTGCGAAAGTGCCTGCCTTTGGGCATGCCGCAACACGACTGGCGGTGGCGACACTGCGCAAGATGCCACCACTCAGGTGCAAGGACCCCAGCTCCCAACGTTGGATGAGCGCTCGATGCTCGTGTACAATGCTGCGGTGCAGGCGGTGCTCCGAAGACACTCCGCCCTTCTGCATTCCAGAGCAGGGTCTCTCAGCTACGGAACCGAGCGACAATTGTCAAGCTGGGTCAGGAAGGTCATGCAAGCGCTTTCAATCCCGCTTGATCTCGCGAACACATCCTCCAATCTTCCGAAGATATCTCAGCCTGTAGTGGAGGGTGAGGCCGATCCGGCCAGCAAGATTTCGGCGCTCAGCTTGCCCGCGCTTTCCATAACTTCTGGCCTGCTCACTGCGTTATACAGCATTCGGCAGCAGCTCAAAGAGCGCAAGACGGGACTCAATCCCAAGGGGTCGATGCGTGAAGCTGCAAAGTACTGGGGTCCACTGCTGGATGCTGCTCTCCAGAAGTACTCTGGAGACTTGCAACAACGAAAGGGGACGATCGGCTCAGGCGCAGTCTCAAGCGCGTGGGAGAAGGAATTCGAGAGGCATGCTGCTGGTCAAGCCGAGGTCGCGGACAGCGCAGTCGCTCTGTCCTCACCACCCTTGCCATCTTGCAGCAGCCCACTTGACGTAGAAGCACAAGCTGTTTGCTGCGTGTTGTCCGCCCTGGGCCCCAACTTGTCCGAGACTGCGATTGAGCTGAGGGACAGCATCGCACTCATCAACCTGTGCACACCGTTCGTACAAAGCGTCTTTGACGCTCAGCTACTCACCTCGGTCAACAAGGACGTTGTGTCTGGCCCGGATGGACTCGAAATCAAAGTGAGCACGAGCTGATCTATAGTGGAGCCGCAGAATGTACGTCTTGTTGCTGCTAATTTCGACGTCCCGGCTTATGATCGGCAGGCAGATTCGGAGCTTGCGCGTCGAATCAGGAGCTCAGCGACATCGCACAATCTACCGCGCCTGGGTCCGATCACACGAATCGCGGGACTAGCGTTGGGCGAAGCAGCGCGCAGTCAGACACCAGAAGTCCTGGAAGAGGCAGTCCATGGACTCGAAGAAGGCCTTCACGAATTGTCGCGTCGATGGGAAGCTGGCTTCGTATCCGCCGATCTGAGCACGGTGGCGCCTGCGAGCGAAGGTCTGACGACGCAACTTTGGACGCTTTTCAAGTCTCTCTTGTTTGGGAGCGTCATGCTGTACGATGGTCTGCTTGATGGGCTGCTGGAGGCCATCCCATCCCAGCCCCTCGTCGTAATTTTGTCTCCCGAAAGCCCAGGCTACGTGGAAGGTCTGACTAGCTCGAATATTCCCCCTGTCTATCTGGCTCTCTGCCACTCGGCCCTTCAGACCCTATCGAACCTGAGCTTTGTCTCACATCCAATGGGCGACTCTTTTGAGGCCCTGCGTAGAACAACGTACGCTGCGCTAGACATTCTGGCTCGAGATGCACGAGCTTCTGTAAGTCTTATCACCGACCTAAGAAGATCCCTAGCGGGAGGCGAGATCGAGTCAAGCCACAAATCATGGAGGAGAGAAAAGGTCACGTTCTTTCTAGACGCGTGTGAGCAGCTCGTTCCATCAGTCCCCGATGCGGTGCACCGAGTGGTGCTGGACGTGGCCAAGTAGTAAGTCGTTCGGAGATGGATGCTTTTGGAGTCGATCCGCGTTGCTAACATATGATGCTGCGCGCACTACAGCTATCTGGAGGACAACACGTGGCCTGACACGTTCGAGTCGGCGCACTCGGTCGTTCTAGCGCTTCTGTCGGCGCACGCACCATGCTCATCTTCACTCGCGCCATATTATTCTTCATCTTTGCTAAAGGTGCGCTGCTCGCGAATATGGCTCCCGCACTCATCACACCTTGACTGACTGCAAAGACCACAATCAGCTCTTTCCGGAAAAGATCAACGCCGAGCAATTAGAGCATGCGTATTGCACACTCGTAGATTCAGCTTCCTCCATGGACGACGCCTTGGCTCTTTGGTGCGCGGAACAGTTGCGAGACGAGATAGAATCAGAGCGAAGCGTACTACTAGCCGCTCCGCCGCAGTCTGCCGAGCCCAGTCTCAAATCTGACCCAAGATCAGGGTCTCAAATACCTGCGACAAGGCTGGAGACGCTGCAAGCTGTTCATGTCGCTCTTCTTCCCTCGCTGCATCTCGTACTGCTTCAGACACATCTCAGCTTTGTCAAGCGACACTTGCTCTCGCTCCCTGCAGATTCTACGCAGCGAGAAGCTCTGGCCGAGAAGACGTTCGACGCTCTTGCTGGACTTGATGCTGCTACGCGGGAGGAAGGACTTGCTTGGTGGGCACGCGAGAGGGAAGCGTTTGGAGTCTGAGGAATTGCATCGCCTTAAACCCAGAACAAGAATACGTGCTGTCCTGCCATGCCCTTTCGAGCCTGATGTCTTTTATTGACTTTCGCCGGGCTCAATACTTCCGCTTGAGTTCGCCTCGGCTCTGAATGGAGTGCTTGCACTACAACCGGACCCCAATCCACCTTGTTGTAGCTCGACGACAGTACAAAGAACAGCCCATCAAGTCGAAGGTCCTGCACCACTATCCTGTGCTTGCGACTGCAGATGTTGTTGCGCAGCCCGATGATACGCTTCAGCCTCAGCTCTGGCCCTCTCGAATAGTCGCTTTTTCTCATCATCATGTGGTGCCTCCGAGCTTTGTGCTGGAGGCTGGGGCAGCGGCGACTGAGATGGAGGTTGTGGTGCCGAGGGGCCTCCTGCGACCTGCTGCGGCTGAGGTTGTGGTGACGCGACCGGCTGCGATTGAGGCGCATTCACTGGTGCAGAACCTTGCATTTCTGTCAAGGATGCGGGAATGTGCGCGTGGGGCTGGTGCTGCCCTGTTTGAGCCGAAACGCCGTGTTGAGCTTGGGCGTATTGCTGCCAGATTCATCGCGAAGATGTCAGCCGTTGGCATTGCGTTTGGAGGCAGGCGGGCAAAACGGAGCTCACCTGCTGCTGTTGCTGTGCGTAGTACCAGGCGGCGTAATTTGGATCGTTAGGGTGCGGCTGCTGTTGCTGCTGCGCCTGCGTGTAGCCATTAGCAGCGTACCACTGAGCCCATTGTTGGCTGTAATCGTGTTGCTGTTGCTGCTGTTGACGCTGGACCTGCTGAGAGTACTCTGGTCTTACTTCGGTGTATGTGCTTGTGGGAGCGCCGGGGTTGTACTTGGCTAAGCTTTGCTCCATGGCAGTGTCGAATGTCCCACGGGCTCTGGTAAACTTTTCGTTCATGGCTCGAAGCTCAGCGAGCTTGACGCTGTATCTATCGATGAGCTTGACGATTTTTGGCCTCAGTGAGAGCGCAGTCTGGTATAATTCCTATGGAAGAGCGAAGGCGTTGTAAGGACGTAGCAAAACATTGTCGACGCACTGCAACAATTTGACTCACCTGCAGCTCCTCGTTCTCAGCCAGATTGTCGTGGTCAGGATCCAGCTCATTGAGCTTTGTGATGAGATTGTCGATGCTGCCGGACTGCGCAAAGAGTCGCGCTTCGAGCTCCGCTTCACGCTGAAGCTCAGCTGGTGTGGGGTTTGGCAGGACCTCCTACGGACACCGCTCAAGAGGATGTCAGCACTGTGGTGGCTTCTCTCGAGAATGCGGTCGCGTTGGACTCACAACATAGTTCACAGGGAAGATACCTGCATTGCCTCTGAGCTCACCGCGCCACCAGTGCTCGTAGACGGAGTCCAGCACTCGGATGATGTCACCTTTGGAGAACGCCAACTCGCCTGCCTCGGTAGGTGCAAAGTCGTAGAGGGCTCTGACTCGGGACGGTGCGCTCGGTGTAGCTGCTGCATCGTTAGCTATTGGCGACGCTACTGCTGATGGTGCAGGTGGAGCGGTGGTGTTCGCGGCTGGAACGGCGTTCTGCGCTTGAGGTGCTGCGGGGACAGCAGTGGCCGTATGAGACGTCGCAATGTTCGGGCGCGAAGCGGCCTGCTGCGTTTCAGCCTGATTTTGCGCCGCCACACTCGTCGCAGGCGGAATGATGGTGGACTGTCGGGAAGCGTAAGGCGGTGCAGATGTCGTGGCAGCTGTCGTAGGCTGGATCACCGGTCGAACATCATTCTGAGCTGCCGCTGCGCTCGGTCTCGCAATGTATCCAGTGGCATCAGGTCGGGAGATCTCTGCAGTAGTCGACGCAATGCTTGAAGGCTCATTCGGTCTGCTGCTCAGAGTGCTTGCGACAGTACTAGAGACGGCTTCTCCAGCGGCTGCAGCAGTGACGCTCTGCTCTGCTCTGCTGCTACCCGCTCTATTGGTGCTTCCACTTCCGCTGGCGCCAGACGTCTCACCCGGCATCTCGAACCAGCCATTGGCCCCATAGCGGCCGCCCACATCGCTTTTGGAGAGCTCGAGTACTCTGCGAAGTTCTTCATCTTCTTGACGCAGCTGCTCGGACGACTTTGGTGGGTCAAGAAACATCACGGGTCAGCCAGGCGTATCTCAGCGCAGCAGTCATGCCAGCAGCAGACTCACAGGCTCTGGAGCTGCTTCCGGCTCCACGTCATAATTGATGTCTGCGGGACAGCATGAGCACGCATACCAGCTCATCAGCAGCGGCGTCGTGCAGCAGGCAACTGCCACTCACTTTGCGCGCTGAGACCGTCAAGCGTCTCCTTCAAGACTCTGCCCGTCTCAGCGTTGCTTTCGGCGACCCACTCCTTCATGAGCGCCCAAGATTTCTTCTTGACCTCGATGCTTGCATTTCGATCGACAATGAGCCTTCGCAGCGCTTCTGCAAACGTCCTCGAATCCAATTCCTTCTGAGCGATGGAACCGCAATTCTTGGAAAGCGCATCGCACAGTGTCAGAGCGTAGATTTGAACGTGGGCAGACCTGTGCTGAAGTCGTTTGGAGATGCTGTGGACACAAGATCGAGCTCCTACTTCGCCTTCCCCGGAGACCTTGTCGCATACATCCAGATTCAGTTCCCAGTTCTCCGACGTGAGGTTCTCGTTGGTGGCTTTGGTGACGATCTCGTCGTAAGGGTTAGTCACACTCATGGTGGGTATGCCGAGTGGAGGGCAGGGAATCTGGTGAGCGACAAGGAAGTATGTTATGACGTGCTTATTTGGTAGGGAAAGAGTAAGTGTGACTCAATGCAAGAGTTGAGAGGAGTGATGAGCAGAGGTTTGGTCGCGTGAGAGAAGAAGCCGCCAGCCTCTGCCTGATGAGGCTGTGCGTTGCGGCCATCATGCGCGCACGCGAGCTCGTCGTCCAGCACAGCCGTGAGCTAAGGCGGCTAGCTGCGCCGCTCTGCCGCGCGTATATGCTGTGAGAGCCGATGCTGGATCACTCGCGGGCGTGCATTCGCGATCTGTGGTACAGTCACAGTGCGTCATTCACGCAAGAGTGATATAAATCACCAATGAAGAATCATCACAATCTGAATCGAAATTCTTGAATTGGGGCGCAGGAGGAGGAGGAGGAGCAACTGTGACGCCAGACCTCACAAGAGCGATCACGTGCTCGATTCGAGTTTGCGAGTTCTCGTGCGAGTGGCGCGCCCACCGCTAGCGGAGATCATCAGCAACAGCTTTTTCTCGCGTGCGTTCGGGATGCGCATTTCGCCAAAAAGTCAAAACAGTCTCCAGCGTGCTGCGTCCATGCCATTCGCCTCCATGCCACACCAATCGTCTCACCTTCATTCGTCCTCCGCTCGCTCTCGCTCTCGGCGACCCACCAGTCTCTGTATTCTGGCATAGCTCTGCAAACTCCGCAACGAGTTCCCTTTCTTTCATCTTCACACGCCTCAGCAACGCGGATCGAGCCCCTTCACCTCAGATCAGAAAGCGGAGCTTCGAACGTCTGGTGAGCAGGCAGCGAGTACGAGGCCCCAAAATGATGACAAACCCAAAACTTAGATGACGAGTATGAAGGTCTTGCCCGATGTAATGCAAGAGGCAAGCAGAATCCCGTGTCGCTTTCAGCGCGGGGAGGATGTTCTTGTGGGCGGACCCAATGCTTCCAAAACCGGCTACCATCCTGACACCTCGGCGTGCACCGGGTGCTGCTATCGCACTGCACTGCCTAGCTCTTTCTACGTGTGAACACCATGCTGATGCATGCTCTGTCCCATCTTTCAGGCACATAGACACATGGCGCCCCATCAAGAGTACGACCCCGAGTCGGACAGCGATAGCGATGCCGGCTCAGTAGAGAGCAGCACTGATGTGCTCCTGGGGTTGTCAGATGGACCAGTCGAGGGCGATGACAGCAGCAACCCCCTGGTTAGCAGGATAGGCGGCTCGCCGGTAAGTGTCAGACCTGTGCCCCGACTCAATCCGAGGGCGAGCGCTTAGCAGTAGACCACAAACCATTATCGCACTCCTCAGGCCTGGCTTCCTGCTCGTGCCAGACCACCTGTCAGCGTGGCCACATGCGAGTTATGCTCTCGAGCGATGGAGCTGCTAGTGCAGATATTCGCCCCACTCGATGGCTCAGCATACGACCGGGTTCTATATGTCTGGGGATGTGCACGAGGCGCTTGCCAACGCCAACCAAAGCCAAGGTAAGTCGATCATTCGCGCGTAGTGATCCTGGTGCGCAGAACGCCTTGCAGGCTGGACAAAGGATTAGAACCGAATCTCTTCACTTGACGGGTGCCGCTTCGCGCTTCGGCAAGGAGCGTCCCAAGGAAAAGAAAACATATTCACAAACCGAGCTTTTTAACCATGATGTCTCAGCTGTCAGCTCACTCTCAATTTTGAATGAGTCTCCGCAAAATATACTGACACCAAAATCCCGTGTTGGTGCTCTAGCGTTCGCGCAGTGCGCTTGCTGCAGTTCAACGCGCGATGGGCGGCCAAGCTGGCGAAAAGAAAAGCCAGGGAAGAAGCAGCTGCAGAACGGCGAACGGCTCGGGAGGCGGCGAAGAAAGCGCGGGTTGAACAGGATAAGAAAGCCAGGCAGACCAACCCCTTCTCAGCAGCAGCTTCATTGAGCGGCACAAATGCACCAGGTGGCCTGGGCGACGCGCTTTTTGGCGCTCCTGCCACAGCAAAGCCAGCGGCCTCACAGAGTGATGCTACAGCCCCTGCAGACGATGTCGGTGCTGAGAGTGCAGACGAGACTTCCAATTCAGACTCGGAAGACGATGAAGCTTCACGCCTCGCGGAAGAACTTGCCGTCAAAGCCTCGCTCGATGAATTTTCCAAGGAGAACGACTGGGCCAGTACATCCTCACATTATAGTCCGCCACTCTACCTCAACACCATTCCCGAACCATCGGCGTCAGCTCGGAGCGCTGCACTTTTGAAAATGACTCCCGGAGCCAAGGCTGCGCTGGAACGTGGGAAAGAGACTGTCCCAAACGGTGACGACAAGGAAATACAAGAGTGGGAGGCAGAGACGTATTCTCGAATGGAGGTAAATGGCGTCGACGAAGCTTTCGAGCGTTTCGTGGCCCGCGTCAGTCCAGAAGGCAGGCAGGTGGTGCGGTACGAGAAAGGAGGCATTCCGATTCCCTTTGTGGCTGCTGGGTCTGCGTACGACAAGTTGTGGCCCCGAGCGAAGTCGAAGAGCGGCGCAGATAGGAGTGTCGCTGCCGCTGCGAGACCTTTCAACCCTTCTTCTGTACCTCCGTGTGAAGCTTGCGGCGGTGCGCGCGATTTTGAGCTGCAGCTCATGCCGAACCTCATCAATCTCCTGCGGCCTGAAAATGTGGTCGACAGCGCATCAGCAACTAGCGACGGTGAGGCGAAGGCCGCGCAGAAGCTGACGGTCGACCAAGCGCGGAGAAGAGACATCGAACAAGCGCTGGGTCGCAAGTTGCAACTCCCACCAGATGCAGATGGAATCACCAGAACGGCGCCTCAACTCTCTGATGCGGAGCTGGAAGCGGAGAAGCTGGCCATGCAAGCTAGAACTGGTTTAGGTTTCGCTACCGCATTCATCTTTACCTGTCAGAAAGACTGTTGTCTGCCCAGATCTGATGAGGCTGCCGCACAAGAAGAGACTTGGCGGGAAGAATGGGTAGCCATGCAGTGGGAGCAATGAATGTCTTCTTTTTTTTCTTTTTTTTCTTTTTTCTTTTCTTTCTGCTCGCAGTCTCTCCACCTCTGCTTGATCGACAGTGCGAGGCAGTTCAGACAAATACATCACAACAATTCATGGGTGAGGCTCATCTACGATTCCGATTTGCCATGACTCTTAGGCTGAGGGTTCCTGAAGATCGCATCGGCGGTCTTTGCAACGTCTACCATTTCTTTGACGTCGTGCACGCGGATAATGTCAGCTCCTGCTGCAATAGCAGCTGTGCAGACAGCCGCCGTTGCAAATGCTCGATCCTTTGGGTCTGTCTGACCCGTGATCGTGCCCAAGAAGCGTTTGCGAGAAGCTCCAACGAGTACTGGCAAATCTGCGAGCGAAGCGTTCGGTGAGAAGAGATCTTCACTCGCGGCATCTTGACGTCCTTGCAATGTCCGCGCTTGATTTGACGGCTGGTCTCGCTTTGGAACCACTTGTTGGTCGAGAGCCGTGAGCCGATGAAGCTCCCTCAGCAGCGCCACATTACCGTCCTTGTCCTTGGCAAAGCCGATGCCAGGATCAGCGATGATGTTCCATCGAGGTACGCCAGCCCTCAGAGCTGCATCGACACGCTGCGAAAGCTCCTTGATGACACCTTGCGTGACGTTTTGATTTTCATACTTCGTGTGCTGGTGCATTGTTTTGCTGTCTCCTCTCATATGCATCAGTACGATGGGAACGCCTCGATCAGCGGCCAGTTTGAGCATCGACGGATCTCGCATGCCGCCCGAAACATCGTTGATGATTTGTGCACCATTATCAAGCGCAGCGGATGCTACGTCGGCTCTGAAAGTGTCGATTGAGATTGATTGTGCTATGCCAGCTTGCCTGATCGCCGAAATGATAGGTAGAACCCTATCCTTCTCTTCTTGTGCGCTGATTTCGGCAGCTTGCGGAGCAGTGCTCTGACCACCAATGTCCAAAATATCTGCTCCGTGCCCAACCATCTCCTGCGCTGCGGCGAGGGCTGACTGAACAGCGAGGTGAGAGCCGCCGTCAGAGAACGAGTCTGGAGTGGCGTTCAGGATTCCCATCACATACGTCTTAGCTTCCCACTCAAGCTGTGAAGGTGCGCCTGAAGGCAACTTGCTGGAGGGCGGTGGCAAAGGCAGCACTCTGACCACATCGCCCTGTCCTTCGTAGTCGACCGCCTTGAGCAGCAGATTCAAGGTCTGCGTGATCGTGCGAGAGGTAGTCGGCAGCCTGTACTCTGGTAAGATATCCGCAAGGGGTCGCAAAACGAATTCCCGCTCCTCTACGCCAGGGTGTGGCAATTTGAGGTCGGCGCTCGTAAGGATCAGCTCGTCGTAGCAGACCAAGTCGAGGTCAACGACCCGGGGGCCCTTCAGAGGCACCCCGGTCTTGTCTCTGCCCAACTTTGCCTCAATACTTTGAGTGAATTGCAGGAATTGGTGAGGGCCGAAGCGCGTGGCGACGCGGCAAGCTGCGTTGAGGAAGTGCGGTTGCTCCGTGAAGTACAAGGGTTTTGTCTCGTAGAGAAAGCTGGTGTCAATGACTTTGCAGTCTGGCGACGTTTTCGCCAGCTCCATGATCGCCCTGTGAATATTCAGAGCTCGATTGCCGAGATTGGAGCCCATAGAAATTCCGACCATGTGCCATCTTCCATCAGAAGCAGCAGATTCGGCCCCTCTGGGCGTGACGCGCACAGAATCATCGGCCAGCTCCAACTTGCTAGGCCCTGCGCCGCCTGTTTTCTTTGTGGAAGCTGCCACTGACATCCGCGTGTGATGTGAGGCCGAGAGGAGTGTCTCGGCAGGGGAAGGTTCCGAGCCTGCGACATCATTAGCACTTCCCTGTGCAGTGTTCGATTCTGCGTTGCTACTAGATGCTCCAGCCCGAGGCAATGCAAGTTTTGCTTCATGTGCGAAAAACTCCTGATCTCGATCTACCTCTATCCCCGCGGCTTCAGCAAAAGTGATTGCGCTCGGCTTGCCGACCCTCACACGAGCTCGGCGACAGCCGAGCTGCACGACGGCGACGCGAGCCACTTCCGTCGCCAAGCTTTCTACAGTCTGAAAATCGCTCTTTTCCACGTATTTACTGACAGCGTCCACTAGAGTGCGATAGTCCACTGGCGCCATTGTTTGATGTTGCGTCAATCTATCAGCCCTCGTCGCGAGCTTGACGTCGATGTCAAAGGTGACAACCTGCCTGTCCACTCTCTCCCACGCATTGACGCCTAGGATGGTTGAGATGCTTAGTCTCCTTATGACGATGCTGTCTTGCCAGCCTGATGTGTCTCGACAATCTAAGAGCGTCATCGAGTGACGTAAGCGGGAGAATGACTGCTGATCCTTATCAGCTGGCCAAGTGAAAAGCTCCGCAGCAGAGACTTGCGAGGCGTCAGGACTTGATTTGGGAGGTGCATAGTCTGCCGCAGTGCGAGATATCGTCAGTCCCGCAGCCGCGGCATGTAGCAAAGCTCTAGGCTTTTCCAGAGTCAATGTCACTCTTGGAGCTTTGCAGATGAAGATGCACACCTTCGCAAGGTCTTCCTGCACAGGGAGATCGCAGGATTAGTCTGAGAGCGCTAGATATATGCGAGCCATTGGCTGCTCACAATTAGTGAATCGATGTTCGTGAAATTCTTGCCATCAATAAACGTCTCCAGCTCCTTGACCAGAATGCCATAGTGGATGGAGAAAGGCAGATGATCTGTCCTACCCGCCGAGCTCACGTCTGTATGCACGTTCACATCTAACAAGAGCGGCTGAACCTTGCATCGTCCCCACGCATCTACGCCGACTTGTGCGCGCAGAGACAGCTGCTTGATTATGATCCTGTCTGGATAGCTGGACGATGTATCTGCTGAGCTTGAAGCTGCAGCCACGGCTCGGGAAGACATTGCCCTAACCTTTCCAGCTCTCGACTTCGCAACTGCTCGCGTGACACCACTGCGCAGCGGCGTCCAAGACTTTCGAGGACTTGAGCGTGTCTTGTTGGCCAGCAGACGAGTTGAGGACGATGCGAGAGCGCAGTAGGAGTGGGTCAAAGCAGCGCAAGAGCTGCTTGCGTTTGGGAGAAAGAAGCCGTATCGACGGAGTGCGTTCATGGAACAGACATCACGCAGACCACGTGGCTCGGAGGGCAATCGTGCGTAGGATTGCTGGCGACCATGCGAACTGCAGACCGCCTGTCGGGGAGGTCACCGGAGAAGCGGGTTATGTTGGCAGAAGATGAGGGAGGCATAGGCGCTGATCGGGGGATGTTGGCAAAACCACTACCCTGCGCAGCGAGAGTCGCAGAAGAGCTAAGCAGAAAGAAAGCACGACTCAGACTCCACCTAATTGCTGATGTATTCACGTGATTGGCATGATGCTCAGCCGACCTCTCGTGCGAAACGTCCTCTAGGCTAGCGCGCGGCTAGCTCGCGCGGTCATCAGCAGCAGCAGCAGCAGCAGCAGCCGCGCTCACACGCGCTTTCCAGAACGTCCAAGGATATGATAAGCCATCCTCGCGGGTTCATCTTGATGCCGACTGTGTGACTTTTGCTTCACTGCTGCTGCGCGAACCAGCTGACTGGACCATGCTACGAGTATATTGCCAATCACAGGCTACTTAGCTATCGGCTTCCAATCAAAGGCATTGAATGAGAGCGATGCTCATCATATTACCGTCAAAGCATCTGCCATGCATGCGCTTCAGCACGTGGACGGCCACGGCACTCACAACTCCATCACGACTCACACTCTTGACTCACCACTCTCTGCTGACCCCGCCAAAGCGTGAATTTTACAATGGTGAATAAGAACCGGCTGCGTGGTGAGGCTGTGCCGGCGGCAAATTCGCCCGCCCGCCGTTCAGGTGCGTGATGATGACGACACTGCTCACGACTACTACAGTACAGCGGCGCCTGCTTGGCTGCTGAAACGCCCGCCGCTCATGGAGCGAGGCAGCCTGATCACCGACCGGCATGCTGACTTGCAGTAGTGAGTGCTTGTCCAGAGCGAGAGGCCGCCGCTGTTCATCGAGCCTCTCTGTACGAGGCTGCGTGCAGCGTGCATTCTCTGCCATACTGTACAGAACATAGCCTTACGGGCTCCTCGAGTGCGATTGCGAATTTGAATGCGAATG